CAAAGGAGGGACCATTACTGACAATGGATTAGCGATGGATAACCTTTGACCTTTTCATGCACTCTCTCCAACTGCAGCAACCAAAAAGTTCTATTTGGAGCAAAAGGAGACAGAAAAACTCAGCCCACAGAAGCAGTTTTGCTGAATTTCAGCCTTTTGTTTCCTAAATTCATTATTTTCAGGCATGTTTGGGTTTGTTTTTACCCTAAAATGATGTTAGCACATTTATTTTCACCAATCAGTTGTGTAATCAGTTACAGGTGTAGCAGCAAACCTAACAAACTCTTTAAGTTGCAGCCRCTCTCCGGTTAAAGATCCAAATTCCTCCAAACGCTGCGCTAAAGACTTGTCATTCGTAATTTCTTTTCCCCTGGGCAGAGGCGCACGTAAACACGTTTTATGATTTGGCCAGATGTCAGTGCGCGGTTTTCCAAATATATTTCCCCTGAAGGCTTGGACTCTGGCCTGAACCGACGGAGCAGCTGAAGAAAAGGGACCCAGGCCTTTTGGCACGGTGGCGGCTGGCAGCGCCGCCCCATCTTCTTACTTCCTCGCTCCTCTCGCTCGCATTCCTCCGACACAGAGATACCATTGAGCGCGGGCTTGTGGGCTCGGTTTGTGTGTTTGAACGGGCAAAACGAGGGTGCCCCGAGCCCACCGCTGGCCCGGGTCCACTGTGGATCCGTGAAGACATTACTGTCAAAGGCCATCAGAGCTTCAGCAGCCTCGGGTCCAGCTGCAGCGTCCCCCCCTGGGCCTTTGGAGGGGTCTTCATCTGGGCCAGGACAGCCTGGGACTCTGTTCATGTGGTTTGGTGGGATCCAAACACTTCATTTAAACACTTTCTCACAGTTTTGAGTCAACAACCAAAACGTCACAGCCCAGCTAGCTACAAACTTAATGGTGCAAAAAAAAAAAATTAAACAACATGTGCAAAAAGTGAAAATACAGTGAGCATCTGTAGAAATCAGTGCAAACGCTTCACAATCGTTCAGATCAGTTTGTCTTCGGTACGGTTTTTGGCACGCTACTCGTTCTGCTATTTTTGTACAATTTTAACAATTAATATATAAAAAATTCAGCTCCTTCAGGGAATTTCTGCTACGACTTTTGGTATTTCAGTCTTTTTTTTTTTTTTACCTATTTCACTTTTGGCCTTTTTTCCCATTGAAAATTAATGGAGTCGTTTCAACATCCTTAAAATCCTTTAAAATGTTTCTAAATCCTTACAGAAACTGACACCATTTGTTCTGGTTCTGCTCTTTTTAACTTCCTTGTGCTAATTTTAGCTACTTATTTGTGCTAATCTTAGCTTTTTTCTGCTATTTCAGCTATTCTGCTTATTTCTTGCAGTTCTTTCTGCTAATTTGAGCTATTTCTGCTTTCTACAGTAGCTTTCTGCTGTATTTAGCGATTTGCTTTTTTAAATTTTAAATTTTTGTGGTATTACATCTTCTTTCTTCTTAGTTCAGCAATGCTGTGATGCTTCCTTGTGCTAATTTAGGATTTTCCAGATACATTTCAGCTTTTTTACTGCACATTTTTGCTGTTTAAGCTATTTTACAACAATTTTTCACTTTTGTTTTTTTTTCATCTAATTTGATAATTCTTTACACTCCTTTGTGCAAATTTCAACTTGTGTCTGCTACCCTTAGCTTGTTTTATGCTAATGTTTAGCTGTTTTCTGCTGTTTCTGCTATATTTCTGCTATTATCTACTGTTTTTCTGCAAAGTTAAACTTTTCTTTGCTTTTTTCAGTTTTTATAATTAAACTCACATTAACTGTTTTGCTATTAAACAAGTTCAGCTCCATTTCATCAGCTTTCAGCTCAAGTTTTTAGCAATAAGCATTCACGCTACTAATTTCACAGAAAATGCAATTTCTTTCGTTTAAGATGTTCTGCAGGTCAGATCACACTCATGAGGGTTTTTTTTTTTTAACTTAAAATGGACATGTGCAGAAAAAACTTCCCTGCTAACTGCACACCATAAACCGTCTTCAGGGAAGGAGGCGAAGGAACATCATCTTGGTTCTACGCTCCAGCTGAGCAGAGCAGCTGCCAAGTCCAGGATCTGCTCCCTGACATCAGACCTTCCTGTGGAGACGAAGCAACGTTTGTTTGATCCTGAGAGGGAGCAAGAAAAACAAACTGCAACACAGAAAGTCACAAAGCAGTTGCTCATCACTATACTAACTATGTGGTATGAGGGCCAAAAATTAAGACTATTGCACAACCAGCGGTTACATCCTTGTAGCAGGAGGCTCCTAAACCAGCTACGATCTGATTAATGATTGGCCGGCGGTGCTAACTGAGCAACTGACCCTGGTAACTGAGAGGCCAGCGCTGGAAAATGAGAAAGAGACTATTTATTTGTGTTAGCAATGAAGAGGCTAGTGCCTAGCATGGATAAGCTGGCATTAGCATTGGAAAGGCTAGTGACTAGCATGGATAAGCTGGCGTTAGCATTGGAAAGGCTAGTGACTAGCATGGATAAGATGGCGTTAGCATTGGAAAGGCTAGTGACTAGCATGGATAAGC